CCTGCTGAGGTTCCGTGGCAGAAGAGTGGGTCGGGACCGTGGCCATTCCTCCAAAGAAGAAGGCTTCTCCGCTTCTTTCGTAGAAGTGGTGGGTCCTTTTCCGACGCTACTGGGTGGAACAGCTAAAGAGTGAAAACGAGCACTTCGGGAATGTGCCTTCTTTGAAGACGTTCGATCATTGTCGATGTCGAAAGCCGACGCCGGACTACTTCGGCTGCCTCCCTGTGTGTCGAGTTGTCTCGGGCCATTTGTCTGAGAACCGCGCGCTCCTTTTGGATTCGAGGACAGTCTTTCAACGAGGCAGCGTGGGGCCTGCTGTAGGCGCACTTCAGAGTAGTCACCCGACAGGCGTCCTCAGCATGAGGTTCAGCGCAACGGGAACACAGTCGTGAGTTGGGGCATACGCCCTTGAGGTGTCCTAGCCTGAAGCACTGATGACTTTGAAGTGGCTTTTGGATGAATGGTCGAACCGGACGTCGCAAATGTATAACTTTAACGTGGGACGGTATGCAATCTCCCTTGAAAAACACTTTTACGCAGCGCGTATTTCCAAGCTGCAGCACTTGCGTAACGACAGTTCCCTCGTTTACAGGCTTGAAGAGGGTAGAGAAGTCAGCATCAGGAATGGCAATGTCGATGTCATAAGTTTACACCAGCAATTGATTTATCATCTATGGATATAAAGGGGAGCATTTTATAGCCACCTAGCTCAGTCATTTGCTGCAGATGTCCTAGCGCACTCACATTGTGCACGTCTATGGCGAGAATATTCTTCCTTGCGTTTACTCTTAGGTTTTTAATTTGATCTGGCACCGCACATTTCTGAGCAACCGAAAGGGCTTGCCTGTTCAGCAGTCGTAGGCTGCCTGAAGGATCTTTTGGCATGAAGATGATGACGTGCGGCCAGCGCGCAGGCCTTGACTGTACAGTCGCTGTACTTGCAGGAGCTGATGCTGTTGTACTCGCAGTTCTTCTCTTCGCCCTCTTACACCGGACAGGTATAAAGCTGTCATCGGATGTGTCGGCTTCTGACATAGAATTCAAATCAGTGTCTTGATTGTCACTGGGGGAGCCAGCTTGCCTCCTTGTGGTTGACGGGTGTGAGGACCTCTGAACAGGCGGGCCTCTGACATGCTCCGTGGCCATCACCGCAAGACTGGGATGCGAGGCACCTCGGAAAACCGATGATTTCACAAAAAATACAGAACGCATAAACAAGCGTTCTTCTATAGAGACACGGTGAACAATAAATGACGTAATGATCTCCATGCGCTGCGATATCAAGCCAATCAGTGAATCAACATGCTGCGTTGTCGGCAATGAAAACCATATCAATGCTTTGGTGTGCATGCTGGCTGTAGTAGACGGGTACTGTCTTGAACGAACTTTTAAGGTGTGCAAAAATTAATAAAAAAACAAAGAATAATTGACCATGACACAAAAAGTCTAATAAGGTTAATGTCATGTCCCGTGAACTGCTGGAGCACTTAGCGGTGAGGCAGTTATCGCTGAGCTTTATTGGCTGCGAAGCAACTTAAACTGCTCACCTTGTAATTTTTGTTGCGTCTTTTATTTGGCTTTTGCACTCGATGTTTATGAATGTACTTGCTTTCCAGGGGTATAAGAGGTGCTGCGCGACAGGCTACTCATTGTAAGAAGTGCTTAATTTTAGGCACGATCTGATATCGTGAGCGCCACAAGCTCCAACAATTAGCGCACCTTTAAGCGCACACTCGATGTACTGTGTAGTGCGTAGGAGAAAATGTTGGAGTGTTGGAAAGGAAACCGCACAATCTTTTAAAAGAACAATTTCAAATAATGTATTAAGGAACAATTAGATTCAGCGGTTTGAAGAAGTACTACTCTGAGAGAGAGAAAGCTAAAGAAACCAGCAAAACAATGCGAAAGTTTGCTGAAAATGCACGGATGTTCGTTCTAGCGCGATGGTGCAGTCTTCCCGACTCATGAATTGTAGGCAGCGAACCTTCGACACGAAGCAGAGTTCAGTTTAAATGAACCAGTTATGCATCGCTAACTGCAATATCAAGTATGTGAAAGGAAACGTCTAACAACGATGACTACGTCTCAGAAACACAAGAAATTGAAACAAAACAATACTACCGAATACAACTGAAACTGGACTTTCACAATGCGAGGAGACAGAGAGCAATCATTATCTCAGCTGTTGCATGAGTGCACCATGTTGCAAACTCATCCAGATAATCGAAATTAATTATTTTAAGTGAGGAATCAAAGCAATCAAAACGGAAGGTTTTTTTCAACGGTGGTAATCCTACCCAAGAAACCTTTTTCTTTTCAACAAATGCTGCGGGAATCGATACAGTTTTGCAAGTGGATCGCTTATCTTGGTATTTTCTGCACTGTCATGGTAAAGACCAATACTCCTTACTTCGCTTGTGATTTTGTTGGATCGCTTTTACCACCGCGGAAATTCAGCTTCACAAACAGGCTTCTTGGTTTAGCATGTGAAGCTCACCACTCAGAGCCGCGGTTTTCTGCACCAAGTGCAAAAAGCGTGCGCACCGCGAGCTGCCATTGTGGGCTGTCGGGGCTGTCGCTGAAACGGGCTGAATGGGCCGCGCCCTTGGTCACGCCTATCACCAGTTTCCCCAGAGCTTCCCGCTACAGTCACATGCGGGTGTTTCCGTCGCTTCGCAAGCTTGAGCTTAGTGTTTGGCCATGAGAGTGCTATGGTGCAGTTCGGATCACGTTGCTCTCGGAGTCTCCGTAATTGGCGTAACATGCTATACAATGCACGCGGCTAAAGAAAATACGTTCCATGTAATTTGCAAGTATCTTTAGGCGTGCTCCAGGTAAACAGTAGAAAAGGCAGCTCACTTTTATGTAACGTACATTTGCAACCTACATTTTAGGAACATTACTTTCTTACGCTATACCCTAATAATAGATAAAGCAACCAGTACTGCCAGGCGTGGATCGGCTGGCCTGCAAAAAACGCGTTGTTCATCGAAGGGACACCATGTCCTTTATTCAGTATTATGAACAATTTCATTGCTGTTAATAAAAATTACAAAGTTTTAGTCTCAGTGATGGAGGTGAAAAAGTACGCAATCGTTGCCCAAACGACAGAGTGCGCTCTAAAACGTTTTGGAATGTTACACGACACTCACGTCATTGTAGTTGACTGGTACAACCATTCTACACTATTTAGAGGCATAATTATTTATCTATTGTGTATTTCATTAGTTATTATTGTAATTTGCGGTATTTACCGCCTATTCTGTCGATAGGCTGTATTGCGAGAAGTTTTATTTGTATTACTACTGCGCATGAAGCATCCTGTACTAATTGTCGCACTTTTGTGTTATTGCGATTCCTCCCCTGTCTTTTTGTCATTATAACTGTTTATTTATGAGTGCTAAAAACTTTGTATCTTTCGCACCACACTCATGACATTAGTGTGCGCAGTGAATGTGTGTATTGTGCTGTGTAGAGGTGAGTGAGGCGGCGTTTTTATACGTCATTTTTTGCCGAAGCAGCACGACAATCTTCAGTTGAGCAATTATCCAATTGCTCAACTAAGAAAATTAAAAAATTGATATACTGTCTATGCTGTAGAATATTATTGCATATTAATACGACGCTACGCGTTCGACTTCAACGCCTAAGCGAGCTGCACTCCAAAACAATCTGTCTCCTTCGTATATATGTCACATTTCCCGAGCAAGACATCACGATGCACCACCCAACAGTAGTGAAAGTTTCTCTCGACTAAGCTCACAGAACGCAATTTGTCTCTGCTGAAACGCTACCATGTGCGTGCTGCTACAGAAAAATAGAAGTTGCATCTCGAACAGATGCAATAGCCTTCAGGTACTGCTGGTTTCAATCTACAAAGAGTAGAGTTTGATGGAGAAGTCTGACCTGAATGAGCAGTTTTTTTTTTCAATATGCAAGAAGTGAGAAGTTAGAACAAATGGATGTGTCATTCTGTTCGCTATTTTTTATAAGTTCACAGTGGCGTCAATGGCGATGTTTCGTGATGCCTGTATGCGCAGCACATCGGCCACACGGGCCGCAGTCAGGTATAATTATTGCCTCGTACCGGCGAAGAAATCACTACCTAGTTTAGTTTACTAAGGGATTCAAGTGACGACACGAGACATTTGAAGCCACAGTGCCGGACACTCTTGGGACCGTTAGTAGGTAGTCAATCTTAAAGTTGTTGTACATCTTCTAGCGGTTGTTAACGCACCCATCAACAAAGAAATCTCCGACAGCTTCCGTTGTATTCGAGTAGGGCCACTTAGATGAATCAAACAGAGGAAGCGAGCTAATGCGCAGAACCATCCGATGTGACTATTTTTCCGTGCACTTGATATGAGGTAAACGAAGATTATCTTCTTAAATTCATAGACGGGAATGCTTCAAAGACAAACTGAACACGCAGTGTGTGGGTTGTTCCAATTGCAGGTCTTCTATTTATTTTTATTTATTGTGCGAACGTCGTTTCATTGCTTGTCTCGTCGAGAGCACGTGGTTAGCCGGCAGCTTGTGCTTTATTTCGGTCAAGCCGCTCACACTCAACGTCGTGCCCTCACCAGCTTCTCGCTCAAGAACCGCCTCTTATGAAACACTTGATTGATTGATTGATATGTGGGGTTTAACGTCCCAAAACCACTATATGATTATGAGAGACGCCGTAGTGGAGGGCTCCGGAAATTTTGACCACCTGGGGTTCTTTAACGTGCACCCAAATCTGAGTACACGGGCCTACAACATTTCCGCCTCCATCGGAAATGCAGCCGCCGCAGCCGGGATTCGAACCCGCGCCCTGCGGGTCAGCAGCCGAGTACCTTAGCCACTAGACCACCGCGGCGGGGCTTATGAAACACTTGCGTTTTTATGAACTCTAACACGCTTAAAGAACCACGGCAGTACAAATAGGCACTCTGTAATGGCTTACCGAGAGCTGTTATGTTAACGTAAGGAAGTGAACGGGCCACAATGCCACTTACATAATAAACTCGTCCAACTCCTTCATAAGTACTTGTCCTTTGTAGATACTAGTGAACGAAAAATATCCAAGTGCTTGTTGCAAGAGTCGCGGCACAAAGTCCAGGATGTCGAGAACTCCAAAGACCTCGAGGAATTTCCTCAGTACGCCGTTGAAGTCAGAGCGTATGGCCGAGTTCTTTGGAATAGAGCTGCCATAGAAGAAGCTTGCGATGTTGCAAGTGAGACATTCAGTAATGTACGGAGAAACTGGCACTGGTTCACCCTTTCTGTTCTCAATCTTTTCCTTTAGAATTTGGAGCTCCTTCTGTAGAGAAAAAGAGGAAGTACGTGATTAGTAAAAAGAATGAATGAGTGAATGGATCGTAATTGATTAGTTATAAATGATAAGAACATTAGCACTGGTTACTAGGGAAGTAATAGACCTGAAAAAGTAAATAGTTCAGCCTTACAGAAGAGAATACGTGTGAATTCGTAAGCTGATGTTAGAGGAAAAATAGAACAGTCCTGCTTCAAATAAGAAATGAAATCTCATTGCACAACCCTATACCTAGAATGTATTGAGTAGGTACTCACTCTAGCAGCAGTATAACATAGGTGACTTATCTAACATATGTGAAATCCGTATCATGCGTGCGTATTAGTAAGTAAAGTGATGAGATAGCATCCTATTGTAGCGCCAGTCGCAGTATTAAACGCTGTTAAAAAGTTGATTTTGATTAATTGGTAAGTGGACTTTAACGTCGGAAGACCAAAATATGATTACGGGAGACGCTGTAATGGAGGACTCCTAAATTTTCGACCACTAGGGCTTCTTTAACATGCACCCAATTCAGATCACACAGGTCTACAACACTTTCGCTTTCATCGAAAATGCAGCCACCGCTTCCGTGATTCAATCACGTGACCTGCCGGTCAACAGCCGAGTGCCCTAGCTACAGACCACCACTGGCAAGGCCGTGGTAATAAAAAAGCTGCAATTTTAGTTTCACGTGAATTTTTCTGTGGCAGCAATTTTGCGTGACCACCCGGATGTAAAGTACCCCCTTATTCACAATCAAATGAGGGTTTTATTGTGTTCCATAAACTTCACCCTAAGCATAGCTCATGATAATTCTATTCAGTCATCTTTTGAGTAACGTAGTTTCCGAAAACTTCGAACACTTGCCGCGAAGACAGAGCTATAAATGCAATTGCAACAATATGAAATGTTATACTAAGTTAAACAAGCACTTGACTTGTACAGAGCACCTAACTGATATACAAATCCAAACGTAGACATACGTTTAACAGCCTCATATATTTTTTATTCTCAGTTCTTCCACAGTTGCGTAACGATGCCAACAGCAACATGGATATTAGAAACCCTAGAAGCGGTAAGCTGAAATGAAACCCTGGTGCTCGCAAGGCTAGTAGCCATGGACCATGCTTGATCAATCAACTTTAGTGTTTGGCGTTTAACTACAATTGACATGACATGACAACTGCCTATAAGACTGCATATCCAGTACTGCAACCACAATAAACGTTTCATCAACATTTGGTTCTATTTTAAATATAGTTCTAGGAATTGGCGTTGCTCTGTGTTGAATACTTGATTGCCACGCAGAGTGGTGCAGCTGAATTCACGTTGAGGCCTTCACATTTATTTTTAGGGCGAAGCTCCTCAGGCTGTAGGTTGTTCCCTCCTCTGCAGTAGTCGAAATGATAGTACTACGTAGACACTCTAAATTGATGGATTGCTCAATATATGGGGTTTGTGTACATGTCCTTAACATAATATCACTAGATGGCGTTATTGGTTTTCATATAGTTTATGATTTGTAAAGTGGATGGACGGACAGAGACACAGACGAATGGACGGACAGAGTGACAGAAGGCGGATAGACTTACTATCCGCCTTCTGGATAGACAGGCGGATAGACTTACTGAGAGACACACAGACAGACAGCCAAAGCAAGGATGGACGAATTGAAGCACTGTTGGGTGAACAGACAGACAGAGGCACGGACACTCGCACGCAAGAACTCACGGACAAACGGACAGACAAGCAGACAGAAGCACGGATGCATGGACTAATGTACACACAGACAAAAGCACGGAAGGACGCACGCACGCAAGCATGGGCCGACAGACAGACGGACAGAAGCACGACTGGCGGACAGACAGACAGGCAGATGGATGCACGCATGAACGGGCGGACGCACAGACAGGCAGGAGCATGATCAGATGAACGTAAAATACGCATGCGCGGACGTACGGACAGACAGACAGAAGCACGCACGGACCGATGGATGGTCAGAAAAACAGAGAGAATCATGGACGGTCGGAACGTTGGACAGACAGACAGAACAATGAACGGGTGCATGGGTCGGCAGACAGACAGACAGAAGCATGGACGGACGCACACGCGGACAGACAGAGAGATGTACAGACAGGTAGACAGACAGAAGCACGGACGGACAGACAGACAGGCAGATGATTCGACGCACGCAAGGACAGACTAAAGGACGGACAGACAGACATATAGAAAAAAACATAGGCAGACGATTGGATGCACAGATGGACGGATGGGCAGACAGACACAAAAAGCGCGTACGGACGGATGGACGGACAGACGAATAGTCAGATGTACAGACAGACTGAGAAAGACAAAAGCACGGACGGACTGATGGAAGCACGAACAGACGCAAGGACGAACTTACGCGAGGACTAATGAACCGACAGAAGCATGGACGGACGGACGAATCGACGGACAGACAGACAAGAGCAGAGATGGGCGTATGGAAGCACACACGGATGGACAGATGGACAGACAGACAGACAGACAGGCAGGCAGGCAGGCAGGCAGGCAGGCAGGCAGACAGACAGACAGACAGACAGACAGACAGACAGACAGACAGACACACAGACAGACGCGCGAAGAGACAGACAGAGCTACGAACGCATAGACGTACAGATATACAGAAGCATGGACGGGCGGACGGATGCACGGATGGACGTATGGACGAACAAATGGACAGACGGACACACAGACAGACAGAAATTCTGGTCAGATGCACAGCCAGCAGCATAGACAGACAGCAGACAAAAGCACGGATGGACGGACGCACGCACGAACGGAGAGACATACAGACAGAAAGATGGATGGTCGCACGGACGAACGCAGAGATGGACGAGTGGACGGACGGACAGACGAAAGAACGCATGGACGGACGAATGGACGCACGCACGGACTATTAGACAGACATACAGAAACATGAACGAACGGATGAACACATGCATGAACGGATGGACAGAAAGGCAGAAGCAAGGATAGACTGACGGACAGACAGAATCAGAGCGGATGGACGCACGCACAGACGGACAGCCAGACAGAAGCACGAACAGACAGGCGCATGGGCGCTTCGCCCCACTCATCATCATTCACTCCGATATTATGCTGTGAAGTATTTAGATTCGTTCGGGTCAATGCTGCCGTTGTAGGCTTTTAGGTGCGAAGCCCTCCTCTCGGTACTGCAAGCACTTTGGGTATCTATCTATCTATCTATCTATCTATCTATCTATCTATCTATCTATCTATCTATCTATCTATCTATCTATCTATCTATCTATATATGTACCACTGTTATGTATATGTTATGTGGTTATGTACCACTGTTGTGCAGGTATGTGCCACAGATTATTGGCATTTCCTATGTTTCTAGGAACAGGGAGTAAAGAAGTGGGTAATTTTTCCATGTGAGAGTTGAAACAACTGATATCGGCATCATCGATCGGACTAATATTGCAGCAAATGTAACAACCTAACTATGAGGGTGTTCTATTCACAACGTTTAATAAGGATGAACTTGTGCCCCAAGCCAAAGGAATTACACAGCAGTTGGGAAAATGAACCAAACCTCCGTAGTCCTCGCGAGCATTGGCCTCGACCACCGTCGTTTTCTTCTTCACGCACGTTGGCCACTCGGTAGAAGCTCGTGAACATAGTGTGCCCCTCATGCCTTCCGGCTGGCCTCATCTGTCGTAGCGGTGCCGCCAGCATTTCTCTTTGTTAACGACGTCCGTGTTCTGCTCTAGCTCTGCGTTAAGAATTTCTGTTCGCATTATCACTCTTATCAAGCAGCATCGCCCCGATGCGTGTGATGCGGCTGTCTTGTACCTTTTGTATACAAGTTTGTTAAAATGAGGTTGTAGCAGATCAAGGGGTTCATTGATGAATTTCTAAGTGGCGTTTAACGTCCCAAAACCACCATATGATTATGAGAGACGCCGTAGTGGAGGGCTCCGGAAATTTCGACCACCTGTGCTTCTTCGACGTGCACCCAAATCTGAGCACACGGGCATACAACATTTCCGCCTCCATCTGAAATGCAGCCACCGCAGCCGGGATTCGATCCCGCGATCTGCGGGATGGGCCTCGGACAAGCAGACGACGCTGCTTGTCCGGGACCCATCCCGGCTACCACGATATCGAGGGACTACTAGGCTGGGCATCGCCCCACCTGTTCCCGGCTGCGGTTCCCCAGCGACATTCCTGGCGAGTGGCTGGCGTTGTCCCTGGTGCTGGCCTGTCGCTGTCCGAGGTGCGGTTCTTGGCTGGTACTGTTCAAGCCATACTTCCTGGCACTGTTCCTGTTCACGTCACCGGTGCTGTACCAGGCTCTGACACGGCTACAGTGGGTTTCTCCCTGGCATGTATCAGCTGAGCCAGGCCATGAACCAGTCCTGACCCAGAAAAGGCAACTCACTCCCTCGGCCTGGCACCGAGTCCACGCGGCTGGCCGCTCTTCCGACCGGCTGAGACCAGACCACACGGCGTGCACCAACGACTTGGTTCCATGCACCATTGCAATCCGCCCCTTGTTCGGGGTACGCCAGGCGAGAGCTCGGAGCCGCGCTCTTCGACAACTCCACGACTCAAGCACTGGTAATAACTGCCGTGGTTTGAGTGTGGAACACGTTGATGTTAGTTACTTGTATGTGCATATATATATATATATATATATATTTATATATATATAAGGAAAAGAAGTGTATACCTAAGGGCTCGTTTTTCCGTGTTTTTGACACAATATTTATGAGATCGAATAAATAACCAGTCGTGAACAGGAATCGAACTTATGACCTTCGAATAACGCGTTCAATGCTGTAACCAGTGAGCTATCACAGCGACTTCCCTCCATTCACTTTTTTGGAATTATATGTGAATTTAGACGTGGGAGTGTCAGTGATATCTGTAGCCAAGCGGCGAGTGTGACACGCCCTTTTATGCGCATGTGTGGCGTCACGTAGCACGTGAACTTATTGCGAGTGGGCAGCTGACCAATAGTCTCTCGTATACAACGTATACACCAAGTCTGCCATATGTGTAGGGGGGGAAGTTCTAATAACTTCCCCTATATATTCTTTGTCATTATTGTCTGTTAGATCTCATTATTATTGTGTCGAAAACACGAAAATACGAGCCCTTAGGTATACACTTCTTTCCCTTATTCATTAACGAGGGTCTCGTACTGGCAGACTGTGTCATTACGTTGTATACGAGGGACTATTGGTCAGCTGCCCACTCGTAATAAGTTCACGTGCTACGTGACGCCACACATGCGCATAAAAGGGTATTTCACACTCGCCGCTTGGCTACAGATGGCGCTGGCTGACACTCCCACGTAAAATTCACATATAAACCCAAAAAAGTGAATGGACAGAAGGCCGCTGTGATAACTCAGTGGTTAGAGCATCCAACGCGTTATTTGAATGTCGTAGGTTCGATTCCTGCTCATGACTGGTTATTTTTTCACCCACTTTTCTGTCTTCTTATTTACATTCCATTTGTTCTAACAACTTCCCCTATGCATTCCTTTCCATAATAATCAGTTAGATCTCAATATATTCTGTCAAAAACACGGAAAAAACGAGCCCTTAGGTATACACTTCTTTTCTTTATTCAATAACGAGGGTCTCGTACTGGCAGACTTAGTGCTAGATAGATAGATATATAAATAGGTTAATAGACGTTCAATGTGTTTGTAGTATGCAATGCTGATGCTGATGCTGATGACCTTTGATGAATGGCGCTTACCCACAAAGGGGGATGGGCCAAGAACCAGGCGGCAGGATACCTAATTGAAACTAAACTGAAAATGAAGCCAATCTGAAAAAGTAGCTTAAAATATTACTATCAAAAAACAAAAATGTTTGCTGAGCAAGCGGTCAAACCATCTTTCGTTTTTGAAAGACATAACTACGAATTATAAACTAAAGATCTGAAAAGGTAGTGGTTCACTAGCATGGTAATCTTTTAGTTGCGTTGATGTAATCAAACACAGCGGAGCATACATCCCTGTGGCAGTAACCAAATGAAGTTCCGCCAAGTGATAAAATTACTGGTAGATTTACTTGTATTCCTAGCTTTTGTAATGGGGCTACTAAAAATCTCTTTCTCTGATAATAATAACGATGACAGAATAAAAAGAAATGTTCAATTGTTTCAATTTCATTGCACCAAATGCATAGCGGTGACGCCTTGAGCTGAGCTTTATTAAGGTAATAATTTAGTTGTGGAACTGCACAGCGCAATCTGGTATAAGTACCTTCTAACTGGCGAGATACACACCACTGTTTATTCCAGCAATAGCTCAAATGCTCGAAGTTTTTAAATTTATCCAAATTACCTTTTCCCCATTGCAGGCAAGCATTTCGGAACCTTAGCGCGGTTACGTAAGCCGTATCTGGCAAAACTGGGATGGTGGGCCCACCCAGGGATACTGCTGCTAAAGAGTCCGCCATTTCGTTCAAATATAATCCGCGGTGGCCTGGTACCTGGTGCAATGAAATGCTTTGCAATTGCAAATACTCTTTGTTTCTCTTTCTCTTCTTGTGAAAAGAATATTAAATACTGACGAAGAGATGATTGGTGCGAGAAGAAATGCAGAGAGAAAGCTGTAGATGTCCAGCCGTAGCATCTTCACACGGCCTGATCCTGGCCACACTGCTCACTCTACCACATGCAGGAGAGACTCTTTGCGCAAAAAAGAAGATAAACTGGCAACGGCATATGAGAAAAAGGCATCGTTGTGTGGTGTTTCACACTGCCCGATGTTCCATCTGGAAAACGTTCTGGCTATTTTCACCCAATATAAGAATCGATTCTTCACTGCATTGATAGCAAAGCCTTACGTTGCACAAAAAGTACGGAAGAAGACAAATTTCATTCGGGATAAGTTCGATGTAGTCGGGTTTGACTGTGCCAATTGAAGGAGTTTTGCGTTGGCACATGCCGAAATGGATGCCTAAGTATATAGACTAATATATCAAAAAGAGCACAGTTGCTTTGATTGCAATGAAACACAACCAACTTTGCTTCGCTTCTTAAAGTAGCGCATTGTGGTGGCCATCAAGGTGGTGAAAATACTTTCTAGAAATTAGCAGTGTCTTTTCAGTGTCTGACCTGGCAGTTCACACACTTAATAACACCAGAATGAAAGTAGCACGCGACTCACCATTATATTCTGCTCCATCTTGTCGTTTGCAAATCCAAGATCTCTTAATACTGTCAAGCATAGGCGCCTGTTTGCTGTCCACATATCACCGTTCAGAGTCAGTATACCTGCACGTATATAAGAAGCGTTTTGCGAAATTTCGCTCAGTAAGCTAGGAATCGATTTTCTACAGTTTTGGATATATATATATATATTGCCACGTTCTATTTTTCAGGTTTTCTTATCGCCCCAAAACACTACACAATTCTCAGCGCAAACCGCGCCTGCAGTTTTCGAGAAGCTTCCGGACTTTAGTAGATCATTTCGATAAAATCACGCCCACTCTGCGAACTGTACATATTATTCTGGAACCTACGCCACCACCAGCGAAATACGCTAGAACATTCGATGGCAAGAGTATAAATGCCGACGCACTTTGCCACTTGTGAGTAATTGATCGACGGCCGACGCTTCGTTCGCTGCTTACCTGGCGCCGGGATTCCCGCGACCAGGCACACGGCTAGTCGTCGACCCCATCTTATCGAGCATCAAGCGAACCCCTGGACAACCCCCCGGCTCTGTCCAGGCCTTCATCGTGAGCCAACGCCCAGGCACTACAGCGCAAGCCGTGGGAGCCAGGGCCCAGACGAAAGTGTGATGGCTTTCGCAGCGCCACCGCCGAAAGCTCATTGCTTTCACTTCAGCGCTCCAGAGGGGAGCACCGTCGACGACCTCATAGATGCCCTCGAAGCAGTAACCGGCCCAGCTGGTATCAAGTCCCTCCAGCACATCGGAGGTGCAAAGTTCGGCACCACAGCCGCAAGCGTCCATGCAGCCACCAAGCTGAAGAGCCGGGGCGCCATTCTCTTGAACTGCGAATCAGTTCCAGTAATCAGCGCAGGTCCTGAAATAGTTCACGTCACAGTCTTCCGGGTATCGCTGTGGGTAAGTGACGCAGCCCTAGTGACTGCTCTCTCCGCCTTCGGCAACGTGCAACATATCCACGAGCCAGTGTTCAAGGGCCGCCCTGGGGTTGGCACAGGTGTCCGTGTGGGAGCGAGTGGAAATGAAAAGCCAAATACCAAACTTTCTGACAGTCCAAGGCAACAATGTCATGTGTGACTACCGGTGTGTCAAGAAAGTGTGCGCTAAGTGCAGGAATGCTGGCCACATCGCCAAAGATTGTGCCACGCCACGTTGCACGTGCTGCAACGTGTTTGGACATGCCACAGAGGGATGCGCAGAACCGTGCCGCAAGTGCTCGGGCAGCCATGCAACAGCTTACTGCGTACGTCCGAAGTTCTTCGCAGCGGCTGCAGCAGTGGCAATCGAAGAACAAGCGTGCACCGACCTCACGCCCGCATTACAGGATGATTATATGGCGCTCTAGCCTGCGAGCGACACTGACGCCCATGCTGAACCACAAGACGCAGGAGACCTGCCTCCCCTGTCTAAGAAAGCCTCGTCGACCCTTCACACCCCGTTCGAGACCAGTGACTTCTCGCCGGACGCCTATGAAGAACACAGCTCATCCAAAGCCGAAGCCCGAGTGCCCGTGCGTAGCGGAGACCACGAGAGCTATAGCTCTGACACAGTTGGCACCACCAGTAGCTCCGAGGCGCCAGAGCTTCGATGGGACGCGGCACCCGAACGACGGGACCTGCAGACGCTCCGATCATCGGTCCAGACAAGACCACAACAGTGATTATGCCACCGACAATGACGAGCGACCGCGCCAGCAAGTACTCGGCTCAGACCCACAGACTGAGCCTGTCAAACCCCATTTGCCAGATTGCAGGTGCGCCCGCCGGTGCGAGTGTCGGTGCCAGCGCCATAGAAATAGACTGTTCAGCCACCAAACAAGCCCACCCACCGACCACGCAGTCTGAGGGCTGTACGGACAGTAGTAAGCCCCAAAAACTCGCTAATGCTCTGACGACGTCAGAGCATTTCTCTCTTTAGTTTTGTTCACTCGTTGATCCCTCGCCCCACCCCCTGCAAGGGGTTTCTTTGAAGTTTGCGCGCACTCCCCCTATTTTCAAAATGGCTACGGTGCATTTTCTCTCCTTAAACGTCAGGGGTTTCAGACGCCGAGATAAGCAGAAAAAAGTCATGCACTTCACAAGGTCACGTCATGTCGATATCTTTTTTCTTACAGGACTGTAATTTTAGAACCCCTTTTGATGCGCAATCCTTTTGTTCACACTTTGGAGCCGAGACCTTTTTTTCGCTGACTGTTTCAAAGATGTGCGGAGTCGGAGTTGTTTTTTTGACACCAGCGTTACGTCGAAGAGCACACTGTGTTTATGGTTTTGACGGCCGCTCACTAGCAGTAGACTTGGACCTTCACGGCAGACGAGTAAAGGCGCTCGTAATATATGCCCCAGCTCAACGTGGAGGCACGGCCGACTTTTTCAATTCACTCGACTCATTTATGTTTGACAGTTACCCCCCCTTTCTTAGTTGGAGATTTCAACTGTGTTGAAGACACCGACAGAGATGCGCGCGGACGCAGACAAAGCAGACAATACAGCGGAGTTAGCTCATTGTGACAACTCATCCACAATTTCAAGCTCAGGGATACGTGGGTCGACACTCGCGGGAATGACTTCGTTGCAACCTGGCAACGGGGTCCCAACATGACCCGGCTAGACCGCTACTATTTTCTAGAAGTGCTAGCCACTCATGTCCTTAGTTGCGAGGTCCTACATTTCCCACCGGACGTTCCATGCATTACAGACCATTTTCCAGTATATGTAAAACTTTTCTTTGAACAATCCACTACTATTAGAAAACCATTGAAAAATGGACACCACACTCGCGCACGACCCGGAAAGCGTAGCATTACTGCGCAATGAACTAGAGCAAGCGTGCGATAGGCCGCCTGACCCCCGCAGCTGGGACGTATTGAAACACAGTTGGCGCGCCGAGCTTATCAAAGCAGGGCGCGAAAGGAAAGCGCGCCTGACGACAGAGATAAACGACACGCTACGAAAAGCGCGCATTGTACGCAGAGGCAAGACGCTGACGTTTGCAATGCACGACTATCTCGATCAGTTAAAGGCGCGGTACGAACTTTTGCTACGTCTTAGTTCCCGCACGGCTGCGCAGTCTTTTGTGAACGGACGACCGGTTTCAGATCCATTGGTTCTTCGAAGTGTTCGCAACGGCTACTTGGGTGAACACATGCATGTTCCTTTTTCAGTTGCCGAACGGCGAACAGTCTACACGAGCAGAAGACATAATCAGGTTCTTTGAAACATATTTTCGAATTTTCTCAAGGGCGGAGAACGCGAGCGACGTGAACTACACCACCATAGTGAACGAGTTCCGTGTGCTCAGACTCTGGTACATGTTAAAGAACCCCAGGCGGTCTCAATTTGCGGAGCCCTCCACTACGGCGTCTCTCATATTCATATAGTGGTTTTGAGACGTTAAACCCTCCATATCAATCAATGGTTAACGAGTTTTGCGCGGGAGTTTCCCGCGTACCGGAGGAGCTCCGCGATGGTCGGTGCAGCCCAGTGACGCTGGATGAATTACGCTTTGTGCTTCAGCACATGAACGCAACCGCCGCTGCTGGCCCTGGCGAGATACCTTTGAGTTTCTACAAAACCTTCCTTGAAACAATACAAGACCACTTTTTGAATATGCTAAATGGAATTCTTGTTGACGGAATCGGACCGAATACGTTTCGTGAGAGCAGAGTTATACTCTTGCTTAAAAGCGAGGGAGAGCCGTCCGATCCAAGGGCGTGGAGGCCCATTTCTCTACTTAACTCGGATTATAAAATATTGACAGCCATCCTTGCAAACCGCATAACAATCATTCTACCGGAAATAGTAAGCGACACACAAACATGCTGTGTCCCAGGTCGTACGATCTATACCTTACTTGCGCTGACTCGCGAATTTATTCACGTACGCTACAAGAACACATATATCTGGCGTTTTTGTTTTCTTGGGCCAGGAAAAAGCTTCTGATTGCGTAGAATGGAACTATCTCTTCGCTTTGCTTGAGCTGTTATGGCTTACCAGCACATTTAACCAACACCCTCCGTTTACTCTACACAGACTTAGAAACGTCATTAGTAGTGAATGGCTATACATCTGAACCTATTGCAGTAAGTAGAGGCATTCGACAAGGCTGTCCCCTCTCCGCAATTCTCTTTGTATTATGCAAAGATCCATCATTGAAACAAATCCAGCAATGTACTTCAATACGCGGATTCCGTCTTCCAGGCTTGGGCGAAGTGAAAGTAGCGGCATACGCCGATGACATCTTGTTGGTTATTCGGAACATAGAAAGCTACAGAGCTTTTCTGCGAATATTCCACACGTATAGTTACTTGTCGGGAGCACGTCTTAATCCCGCAAAAAGCAAGGCATTGTGCTTTGGGATGCACATTGAAGAGCTGCCTGATGGCGTCCAAATCGTCCGAGGCGTTAAAGTCTTAGGTGTACCTTTCTTTTCGACTGGTGAGGTAGCCCGCAGCACGTGGAAAGAAATCCAACCCAAAGTGAACAGACGCATTGAAGTCGCCAGAACGTTTCAACTACCTTTACTGAAAGAGCTTATCTAATTAAATTCAGCATAACAGCGCCACTGCTTTATGTAGCCAGAATTGCACGACCACATCGACGGGTTTTTCTGAGAGTGGCTACTGCGTGCGGCTCCTTTTTTTTTGGGATGGCCACGCCGAAGCTGTTGCCAGAGCCTTGGTCCGCCTACCAGTCAAATGGGGAGGGCTCAGTGTACCCAACCTTGATGTAATGTGCCGCTTGTTGGCTCTCCAAAACACCTGGGCACTCTTAGAGAACTCATCGTATCGAGGCAGGCAACTTGTAGTGTATCTGCTAGGAACCTCTAGAAGACTTTTTGGTTTAGCAAACGACACTGCACCAGCTGCTGAGCAGCCACCAGCGTATTACACACATGCTATAAAATCTTTGCAACAATGGCGAAACGATTTTCCTGTTCAAGAACTTATGTGAATGTCCCCCACCGACATGAGCGAATTAATAGCATTTAAGAACGTATCTGAAGAACAACGCCGGAAATGTCAGGCGAAAAGACGCTGGACTCTTACAAACACGTCTGTCCCCTCCGAGGTGCGTGACCTAAACTG